ACCCGTTCTCCAATCGAAAATCACCAAGAAAACACCTAAAAAAAACAAAAAAAAAATCCAACTTCAAACCTGTTACAACCAATAATAAAAAAAAATTACAGTCCTCCCTATGGGAAAGAAACCGCAGCACCAAGCATATTTTGTGAAACAAAAACTAGAAACAAAAAATCAGTTTCAGTTTTTTTAAAGAAAAAAGGGAGAGAAAAGAGATTATGCGAAAGGAGATGTAAGAGGAAAAGCAGCGTCACACCCTGTGGAAGAAAAAAAAGTTAAGTTAGTCTCTCTCTTAAAAAAAAAAAGAAAGGGAAAAGAAAAAAAGGAAAAAGGAATGAACGTAAAACAAAAAGGCGGAGCTGTTCATTGACAACGGGCAGCAACGGCGGCAGTGTGTACTGCGAGGCCACCAGGATCTGGAATTTTGTAGAGAGGGCCATTAGGCTTTTTTTAAGAGCCCAAAGGAAAATGATGAATTAAAAAGAGAGATTTTGTAGCCTTAAAAAAGAAGAAATAGAGACGGGCCACCTCGCCCAGGACTAAGATCCAGCCTGGGACCCAACCAACCCGATCTGATTGTTGATCCAAACGGGTCCAAGTTCTGGCCCATTCACCTGGAAGTAGCCTAACCTTTTGCCTCCACCTATCATTGACTTGGCCGAAGTTGCAGTAACTATTTGGACCAAATCAATTTAACTTGGATCCTAGCCCAATTTATAGTAAATCTTGCTTTAGTGTTATTTGTTCATGTGTTTATTTATTTTTTTACATATTTTGGTATTAAATAAATGAAATTGTTTGCGATTGATTGAGGTTGCATTTTAAAAAATTTTCACAAACGATTCATAATAATGTAGAATAAATTTTTTTAAAAAAATGATGAAAAAAATAAAATTAAGAGTAGATACGAATTTTTTATGATGGGACTCTAAGAAATTTAAATAGTGATTCTTTATAATTTTTTAGATGAAAAAATATTTTTAAAAATTATAAAAGTATTGAAATATTTAAAAAATCTTTTCAATACAAAGATTTTTATTTTCTTTAATTTGAATAACTTTCTTAAAAAAGGATAAAAGATAAAAATATAAAATATTTATAAAAGTACATATTTTTTTAAGAAATAAACTTATAAATGATTATATTATTGCATAACTTTTAAATATCAATAATTATTAAAAAATGATGAATAAAAATGAAAATGAAAAATAAAATCTTCAAGGATGAGATCCTAAAAAAATTCGAGTAGTGATTTTTTAAAAATCTCTAAGTAAAAAAATTTATCTAAAATACCATCAATGTATTGAAGCATTTAAAATAATTTTCGATAATGATTCTCGTTTTAGTTTTAAAAAATAAACTTTAGAAAATATTATTAGATTTTAAATTATAGATATAATGTTTTACAATCTACTTATTAAATATAATTTTTGATGATAAATATGAATCATCGAGAATAGAATTTTTAAGAATCCCAAATAAAGATTTTTAAGAATTTCTTAGGTGAGAACGTTTATATTAATATTGCCAAAGTATTAGAATATTTCAAAAAATTTTCAATATGCAATGTTCTTATTTATTTTTCAAAAATAGAAAAATATATTAAAAAATAAACATATTATTTGTAATAAAATTTAAGAAAATTAATTTTTAAATATCAAAATTAAGATCTTGTTGTAAAAATTAAAAGAAAACACATAATTAATTTGTACCATTTTAAGTGGACGTTGTGAGAGTGCTAATCTTTTTCTATATGTAACTATTTTCGTATATATCAAAATTATCTTTTTGATAACGTTTTAATTAATTTTAAAATTTTTATTAAAAATGTAAGTTTTAATAGGTAGTCAATTACACCTAACTAAAAAATATTTGTGACAACTCTTTTTTGTTTTAAAATTTATCTAATAGTCAGCAAAACTGTTACGACAAACACATTGGAAGATAGTCTTTGACAAAAAATTTTACCAACATATTGGAAGATATTTTTGAAAATAAAATATTTTTATGAAAATTAATTTTGAATCTCCGGTGATAGAATTACTAAAAGCATTACAAAATAGCAATTTTTATATAGATTCCTAGGTGAAAAATTCTTTTTAAATTTTACCAACGTATTGGAGAATTTTTAAAAAAATTTAATATCAAGATTCTCACAAAAATACCATTTATAACAAACAAAGGTTTTTAGAAAATTAAATGAACCCAATAACGGAGCCTTTTCAAAATGTGACAAATAATTTTCCTTAAATACTTCTGAGATAAAAGAATATCTTAAAATTATTACCAACATATTGAAATAATTTTACGACAATTCTCAATAATTAATTATTTGGTAAGATTTTTAAGGTTTTGAATAATATGAGATCAAACTGATACCATCATTTGGATAGATGTTGTAGAGGTGTTATAACATTTTCTATACGTAACTATACTCCTAGACCTATATTTGGTTTCATAGATTATAATTTATCTTTTAAAACTACTCGAGTTAAGCTTACGACTTCTTTTTAAAATAAGACAGATTCAATTAGGTAATTAATTGTATCTAGATAAAAAAATATTGGTGGCGACTCTATAAAGTCAAAGATTTACGGATATATACATCATGACACTAGGGCCGTAGAACTAGTTCTGATATTAATGATCCTATTTTTCAGGGATGTAAAAACGTAGCTATCATAAAATATTTCTTTAAATATAAATAATTTGCTCATTTCATTTATAAACATAATTCATCATTCACATAGCAAAAATACAAAATAATCATATGTTTAATCATATTTTCATATATTGAAAATAAAGAAATAAAACATTTACTTATTTAGAAACATACATATATACATAGGTTAAAAAATAAATAAAATGTGTGAGATTCTACTTATATCTTTTCGATTCCACCACTTAATTTTTTTTTTCAAAATAATTAATAGCTTATTCAATATCATTTCAACATATTAAAAATTAATCAACCCTTTTTGAGATCATTTATACTGAAAACAATTAAGTTATACAGGGGTTAACTTAATTCACTAATATTGATAGCCTAAGCTCCTTTCACTACAACAGCCATATCTCAATATATCCAACTTAAAATTAAGATCTTTGTAATGCATTAGAAACTAGATTTGATAAGTTTTCTAATTATATATGGTTCATTTCTTAATTCCTTATAGATTAATTGCAATAAATTTTACAAATTACGTCATATGCTACTGTCAGACAGCATGTATACCTTATAATAAAAATTATATATTTATTCATAGAAGACTCCAAATTTAATTTTGTTTATTTCGTTGAAAAGTAGACTTAATAACCTTTTCAAAATATATAGCTCAATCCTTAATTCCTCGTATAAAATTTAAGACAATTTTCATAATTCATGACTAATGTTATTGACATGCAATTTGCATATCCTTAAATAACAATTAGGCAACTCTTCATAAAAATTCAAAATCTATTCCGTTTATTTTGTTGGAAAGTAGATTCAATAAGCTTTTCAACAATAAATAATACTTATAGTAATAATCTATCAATTAATGCAAAATTTTATTTTAATTCACTATTATAGAGCATAGTATCTCATCAAAAAATAAAATTTTTTCTTGAATCTTTAAAGACCCAAATTTCTACTTTCAACCATTAAAATTCACTTAAAAATCAGCATTAAATTTTAATAACATAAAGCAAACAAACCCAATAATTTACCTAAATAGATCATGAAGATTTATGAAAAGATTTAATAATTTTTCTTGATTTTTCTCTCATAACTTCAACTTCAAATAATAGCAACCAGTATAATATTTTTTTTAAATAAAAAAAATGTCATATACTCATCTTTAAGAGAATAACTCAATTGTATTTTTTGATTTTGAATCTTTAACTTGATTTTTTATATTCTCTAACTTAAGAAAAATGAAAGAACCCTTTTAATTAAATTAATAAACTTTAATAATAGTCTAGCCTAATTATCATTTGGGCAAAGTATTACACCTACTTTCTTGACATGTGAAAAATTTAGTTATTCGTCACTTATTCTGCAGCCAATTTACAATCAAAATCTATTTTATTAATATTCATCTTAAATTATGCTCATATGTTATTATAACCTTATTAATAACAGTTTTGAATACCTAAGGAAAGAATACAAGGTGATTAATAAACGTTCATTAATTTTAAAAAATAATATTCAAAGCAACTTTTCACTATGAACTATTGACTATCATAATTGTCTAACATAAAGTACTCTTAATTTAAAATTACCTATAATTAATTCGTATTTTTTTATTAAAAAATAAGACATATAATTGACAAAAATTAATGGTGATATTTACACTTTTAAGCAAAAAATACAAATAAATCATTTTTACAAATTTGGTGAGAAAAACTAAGTTTGAAAAATTAAAATTTCATGTTTGAGACTTGAGAATTTAAAAAAACAAAAAAAACAAAAAAAAAATTAAAGGTAAAAATTGTAAAACACAATAGAGCACTATTTTGTTTTTAGCTTAAATTTTCTTTCATGATAATGGTCAAATTGAAACTAACCAAAACACTCATAGACTGAAATATAAATTATTGAAAAACAACAAATTGTAATTGCAGAAGAGTACGATAGGTTTACTCTAATCTAAAGCTAATGCAATTGGAAAATAACCTTGTAAATAATGCTAGATTACATCAAAATCTCCTATTTATAATGGAATTTTTTGGTACAAAAGAAAATAAAGAAGCTTTATGTTAATGCAAATTAAATTAGGCATAATCTATGTAAATCAATTATAATGAATTCATTTAAAATTCAACATGTTTTTTTTAAATACTATATCTATAATTTAAGATATTTTATTAGAAATAAAGATAAGTCAATTAAAAATTTAAAGAAAAATAAAAATAATTAATGCGTTGAAAATTTTAAAATTTATATAAAATAAATAAATAAATAAATATAAATACATATATATATATATATATATAACAATAAATCTAAAACACATGACGATTACTAAAGACCATTCATATGTTAAAATGTTAGATCATCCATATTAAAATAGTTTTGGCTTTTGTATATTTGTATAAGATGATGGGTCCATTTGGGTCTTTATGGACGGACTGAGCCTAACAATGTTGGGTTCGAACTTAAACATTTCAAAAATCCACACTGAAGCTGCACTTAACGCAACCCAATAATCAAATTTAAACTGAGATGCTAATGAAATTTCAGTGACTGGCAAAAAGTTTATCAGTGGGGATGGCTGCCATGATTGCCACCATTGTAAACTCTATCACTGGTTCAGAATTCATGGGTACACTCCTTTTGCACGAAACTTGCTGCTAACAGATTCATAGTTGGGGACATTAACAACTGCCAAGCAAGAAGGGTAAAGAATTTCATAATCTGATCACAAGACTTGGATCAAATAGTTCCCAGGAAATCAGATATTTACCATCACCATAAGATGCCATAGTTAGAGGCGACGATATAATCTTCCCAGCCAGATCAGTAATATCGTGCGGAGTTACTTCATCTACCATCTTTAAAAACGACTGTATGGATTTCCTGAGAAGAAATATAAGATAAAATATGTTAAAACAAAACAAATTGGATACTCCTTTCGTGAGGCAAATTACAGTAAGAAACTAGTGTGCCACAAGAAAACAACACCCCTATACATTAAATCAATTCCTTTTGACACTTTGTCACCGTAAATATAATTCCCTTTAAACACAAGCAGATAAGCATAGTATCAAGTGATTAATCCTATTAACTCTAGAGTTTAGTTCAGTTGATTCATGCAATCACTATTAAAAAGCGACATCTTGCAAGTCTAGAGTTCAACTCCCAACACTTGTAACTCCTATCCTTAGACTACGGCCTCCTATGTACTTAAAAAAATGACTAAAGTATATTCCATTAAGGGAGCTCTCTTTTAATGATTAAAATGGTTGAAAAACACAGTGCAACCTCACTGAAGGAGAGAAGAACAGGAAACAAGCTTTTGTGGCCAGTCTAGACTAGACATAAACTGGTTAGCAAGGTAACCATGTAAGACATTTTCACCAAAGTAACCATATCAAGGATGATTAGCATCGCTGGATTTTTTGGTTGCATATGCAAAAAAAGGATGTTGAAACAAATTGGAGACTGGAACATAAAGATAACTTATTTTACAGAGTGACAATTAATATGAATTTCATTTTTTTTTAATATTTGAGGCTGTTAGGATTTAAACCCTGGTTACTGAAACTAAGAGTCCGGTATTCTACTATCAGACCACATAGTTGTTGGCAATATGAATTTCACATTTTATAAAACAGCAGAAATTTTTTACTAACCATAAAACTCACAATAAGGTAATTTCGCTCATACAGCCATTCTCAAACAATAAGTGTTTAAGTTAATTACTTATTCAAAAACTTTTTGATATTCATAAAAGCATTGTTATAGTACCCAATTTTAGAAAGGTAAAAGACCCTTCAACCTCAGGTGGATAACCTCTGTAGAAGGGTACATGTTTTCAGGGGGAAAAATTTTCAGAAAGGTTTCTGGTTGGAGCTTGGGCAATCAATAATACAATTGTGCTAAAGAATTATTGGGGGTAAAACACTCTAAGAAACAAACTATATAAGATTTTAGTGCCAACTTTTTTTCTGATAAAATCTCTAAACATGATGAAAATTAGACTTGTAACTGGAATTAAATATCACAACCCCATAATTCTATGTTTTCTGTAACTGTTTTCTCACATGAATGTCATATGCAGGTCAAAACATATCTTTAGATTTGGTGTAGGAAATCATGCACGAATACATAGGGATAGGTACAGATAAAGGAGTTTGAAGTATTAACACACCTTTCTCCATATGTCAAAATCTGCCTTCCGATATCTTCTGCCACAATCGTCTGAAAAATACAACTGATTTAATATTAGAAGTCTTTTAACAGAACAAAGAAAACTAAAGCAATAATGAAATGATTTTAATAAAAAAAATTAACATATGAGATTGCTAGAATAATGCACAACTCTGCATTTTGGGATGGGGGAGAGAGAGAAGGAAAGCATACTCTAGATTCTAGATTCATTAGTACGGCAGATTTTGTGGCCTGTTGTGCACGCTTTATCATTATATGAGAAACTGCCACCAAGATGGGTTCAAAAACTTTTAAAAGGAGTTAAAAAAAAAAAAAAAAAAAACAGGGCAGCAAAAATTAAAGAGTTTTCCATGAAAAGAAGTGACCCAAGGAAAGGGCAAAATAAGAGAAATGCAAGCAAACCTGCTCCTTCTCTTGCCAATAAAATTAATTCTTCTGCTGCTATGTCAACTGCTTTTGACACAAAATCAGAGCTCTGGCACAAAAATTGAGTGCAGTCAACTCTTTGTAATTACAAAGTGTAGCATGCAAGATAATGATTATTGACAGACCCAACTAAAGAAATGCCACTTCATTAAATTAGATTATGAAAGATAAATATCCATTACTGAAAGATATTAAGAGATAACACTTATAAAGTTCTATAAATAAAGACAACATGCACGCATCTATATGCACGAACAACTGCATATACATGCTTACACAATGCTACCAAGTTTTGCACGAACAGACAATGAAGAAGAGTACATAATGATAGCCTTACCGTGCTACCATAGATGCCAAACAATCCAGTATTATTGAAAATGCTGTTGAATGCGGAAAAAGAATGAATCTGCTGATACTCATTCAATACACAGAGATCTGCTTCCAAACATAACAAAGAAAAGGAAAAGTAAGCACATATTTACCTAAGCATGAAAGAAATTCAGCATGTAATACAAGCAAAAACTAGTAATATTTCACAATTAACAGGAAGAATGCAAGACTGTTGCAAGAAAAATTGTCTGACAAATGACATCAGCTAAAATCAAATGCAAATTGTCAAGCAAGGAGAACTATATGCCAGATAAAAGCAAAACTTACATAGCCGAGAGTGCATTCCTTTCCCTGGACCCCCAGCTGAAAATGAGCTACCTCCCCCCATAAGCATCTGTAGGTCAAACAGAATCATTAGTAACATTCAAGCAGGAATCATATAAAATCACAACAGAAACTAAAAAATAAAGTTGAAGATTTTTCAACACATGATGTGTGATCCAAAAGTTTCTGTGTAAATCTTAAATAAAGGAAAAAGGGAATACACAATTCTAACTGAATTAAACAATTCATGATGCAAAGTTCAAAAAGCAGCACCTGCATTACAGTCAGAGTGACAGAGTCTTTCTCATTATTCCAGCCACCTGGTACTTCAAAGGCAAGAGCAAAATGGGTACTCTGCAATTCAGAACCAAAACTTTCAATCTATGACAAGAAGAAATCTTGGAAGTTCTAAAGAGAGTTTTTTTGTTCTTTCTTTTTTTTTAATTATTTGGGGGGTTTGAGGGTGGGGGGGGGGGGGGGGGGGGGGGCGAATGGGGAAAGGAAGTTATGTAAAGACAACTTTATTTATATCAGATGAATGGTAAAACACACTGGTGAATCAGCTTGTCGACGAAAATCACCACCAACATAAACAGATTTTGGTTCCTCAGGGTAAGGTCCTGCTGGGAGGTCAGAAAGAAGTGGCTCAGCAATCTGTAAAAGCTCTTCGTGCTCAACGCCAGATGCAGCCAGGACCATTCTATTCCCTGTATAATTCTCCTGAAACCATCAAATAAACCACCATTCCGCAAAATAAACACAGAAAAAGAAAAATGGAAACATGCATCAATCAAATAAAAAGTCTCATGTTCAAAGTACTAAAAAAATTGTGCTACAAATGTAAAACTACATGCAGGGATACAAGCAGCATAGAAAAGATTCTCACAGTAATGAACTCTTCCAAAATGCTACCGTCCAATCTGTCTAGTGCTGATTCAGGAACCAAGAGAGGATTTGCCAGTGCACCAGAATAACCAGTGGAATGAACAGCCTCCAAGATTATGCGCTCAGGATTTTTCGAAACTTCCTCTAACTCAGCTTTCACCTTTTGCAACTGTACAAGAATGTGGTATATAGAAAACTCAAAATATGGTCGCAGAACCCAACAAAGAGAAAAGGAACAAAATCCTGGTTCTGTGCTTATTATCAATGGCCAAAGCATTGAGTCCCCATTCTCAGACGACTGTCCCATATATAGGTATACACACTCAACCAAAAATCTAGATATACGAGCATGTAAGTTTACTTGCTCATACAGAGAATGGTAGAGGTAATTAATAGGAAGTATAATGATATGGAAAATTAAGCAACGGTACTTCTAATACCAATGCTTTAAACAAACATAAGCTGAGATTTATAGGATGCTTCTTCTACAACAAAGTGGCATGTGGGCTGCTCCAAGGCACAACACAAGACTTGTTTCCTCTCAGACTGTCCTGGTAGGTTGCAGCTTTATCAGTTTACACAATTATGAAAGTGCAGTGGAGATTCGTTGGTTAAGTTTAGATGTAACATAACTTTATTTATTTTTTTAATTTCAGAGTTGAATAGAGATTGGAGCTTAGAAAATGAGACACCCTTCTTGAAAGTAAGCAATGACTATTTAGCACAAGCTATTGCCTTGGCTACATATATAACTAACGTTACTTAGCATGTGCATGATTCATTCTCATTCTACAAAAAAAAAAAAAAAGAGTATTCTTAAACAATATCTGTTATTATACCATTCAATAAAATGTAAATAGTTGTTGTCCCATGTCAAGATCTTCTGAATGTATCTTTGCCAACATGCAACACCATTTCAAGACAAAACACTCCAAGCTGAATTATCAAATAAAGGGTGCAAACAGATTAAGTAGATTTGCAGATACAGTTATCACTTGAAAAGGGTAGAAAGTGTCAAACATATCTCGTTCCATGACTGGACAAACTAGAACCTGAGTAGCTTCTTAGAACTGAGTGATTGCTTGTACTAAGAATTTTGGAAAACACAACTGTCAATTTAATCAGAAAATTGGCAAAGATCAAAAAAATTACCTCTTCATTAACTTCCCAATCCAAAAAAGTAGGGTTCCTAACACAGTCAATAAGCAATTCTACCATTTCAGGAACATAGGTCTTAAGGGCATCAAAGGTGTATGCCATGCACTCCCTAGAGGCTGAGGTCGATGTGTTACCTCCAATTGCCTCAACTTCCCTAACAATATGCAAGTGGCTGCGGTTTTTTGTGCTCTTGAATGCCATTCGCTCCAGCAAGTGGGAGGCACCGGATGATATTGGTGTCTCATAAATGGAACCACAATTAATGAATAAGCCAATGGAAGCAGCAGGAGTCTGATGAAACAAGCAAAGAACTTTACTACACCATAACCAATGAAACAAATAACAAAAAGCAGTAGCAGCAACACTTAATAATGGAAATAGCAGTTCAATAAATGAAGAGTAGAAATTTACAGTACCGGTAGTTGCTCTGAGGCTATTTTCACACCATTAGATAGAGTTTTGACCTTAGTTTCACTAGGTGCAACATAATCAGGTAAGGGGGGTGGAAGGGAAACACTTTCTAATGGTGTGTCCAAAGGAACAACAGCACTTGAAGTTGCATATCTGACGGCTGCCAAATTCACAGAGCGGCCCTACTCACAAATGTTCAAAAAGCATTTCTGTGTAAGTGACTAGATAGAAAACCAACACACCAATAGTTGAATTTTTCCGAGCACCATCTCCATCAAGTGGAGACAAAGAAAAACAAGCCAACCGTTAAAATTATGAGGCAACTATTTGATGAACTAACAAACATAGTAATGTACGTAAAGCAAGCACCATTCTGTAGTTGAAGGAGAACAAATAAACAATATACAATCAAAGAAAAGAAAGGGTTATAATATAGCTTCCATTGTTTCTGTTGAATCTAGAACTCTTCATAAATTTGATGTTTGGCTTTTTTGGCTAAAATGTTCATTAAAAAAACTAACTTTTTTTTTTAATTTTCACATTCTCTCAAAACCTAAAGAAAACACCAAGAAAGACTAATGAAACAAAAAATACTAATATCACGAAACATTTAGAGTGTGTTTGGTTCAAGCAAATTCACAAATTTTCTCATGAAATCTTAATGGTGGATATTTGTTTCCCACGTTTGGTTCAGGGTAATCCGATTATAAGGAAAAATATTAGATTATTAACAATACTCAAAGTTCCAGAATCAAAAACCCACCTCTTGCTGTATTTTAGGATTCCAAGGGAAAAGTTGCTTTATTTCCAAATTTGATCTAAATAAATAATTTGTCACATATCCGTTACCCTTTTGAAAAACAAGTTTGAAACTTAATTTTATTTTTTATTTTTTAATTTGCTTTATTTTTTTATTTAGTTTTAATATATGGCAATTAAGACGTTTCAATGAAGAAATGCCTTAATTAATAATCGATTAAGGTGCCTTGAAACGTCTTTTTTTATGCTTTTTCCAAAAATCTTTGCAAAAGCATCAAATAAAATGTTTTTTTTTTTTTGAACAAATGCCTCATTTGACCCATTCAAATAAGGTGTTTTGTTTTGACAAACACCTTATTTGATAGATGATCTTTCAAAATCTTTACAAAAGCAAATAAGGCGTTTCTTTGAACAAATGCCTTATTAAATGCTTTTTCCAACATATTTACAAAGCCCATTCAAATAAGGTGTTTCGTGTTTACAAACGCCTTATAAGTTTTCTTTGAATAAACATCTTATTTGATTTTTTTTGAACATATTTACAAAAACAAATAATTTCAGCTATTCCAAACGGCATAATTAATATTTTTTTATATTTAAATACAGCAATTACGGCTTGATGTCTAGTTAAATCTGTAATTGGGTATATTTAATTAAAAAAAAAAACTTAAAATGAAAGGTTGCCTACAATTTGTCAAGGAGATTCTGGTTATTACCCCAACCAAAGAGTAAATTTGATTATGAGAGGCCCTGAAAATCAAATAAAATCCCAAGTATTAAACTTTTCCGATATCACCCTTTCCCCCGAAATCTAAAATTCTGCGAAGCAAACGCCCCTTTATATTTAAAGGCATTAAAATGTGGCATAAACAGGGAGAAAAAAACAACCCAATTTAACAAACTAACTAAAAAAATCATCTCATAAATGGATATAGAAACATCAAATAGCAATAATCAGTTCACTGCATAAAACGCACAATAGAAAAAAAAAAAAAAAAGCTGGACGACGACAAGAGTTAGAAAAACAATGTGATTGAATGGGCATTGAAATGGCTCTTTAACCCATGCGACAAAAACTAAAATTTTTTTGGGTCGCCTATCAAATTGTTTTCAGGCATTTTCTGAGAAACAAACAGAAAATTTTTAGGGCTTTGAAATGGATTTGAGTTAAAAAAAAACTAACCTTGAGAGCCCTGAAACGTGAAAGAGCAGCTCTGTACATGGTCTGATTTTCGTAGTTATTAAGGTTTTAGGGGCTCTCCTCACTGTTTGTAAAAGTTCTTTATTATTTGTATGTAAGAGAGGAACAACGAAGAGAAGAGAAGAGAAAAGCTCGAGGCTAAGGTGGTGGCTGTTATATGAGAAGAAGCGAATAAGACGTTCAGTTTTGTATTTTGGGGGTTTTGGAGTTTGGGTTCTCTGCTTTAACGTGCATTTTCAGTAAGGTTTATTCTCTCTACTGATCTTTGCCATCTCAGCATCTGATATGTGGGAACCTGCCTGTAGGATGGGAACATATCAGTCCTTTGGCTTCCCCTTTTTCTACCCCTTTGGATAAAAAAAAATTGAAAAAAAAAATTAATGGAAACCTCCCAAGTGTCGCATCGAAGGCCAAATTGCCAAGACCCAAAACACAAGTTTTGGTTTGGATTAAAGCTTTTCCTTAACAGGGCTTTGGCCTTTTTAAGTGAACCTAATTACTGGGCCTTTTCCTATCTGGGCTGTCCAAGAACTTCAACAGCTGAAGTATAAAATAACATTGTCATTTTTCTTTTCATTTCTTTTTCTACAAAAAAAATTATATTTTTATATTTGAACTTAATTATTAGAATCTATTTATACAATTAATTTTGTCAAGATGGGAGGAAGAAGATGGTATACACTTGGCAACCCTCCCATCCTCCAAAACTCTATTTTTTTTTTTATTAAATCTAAATTTTATTTTATTATTTTAATTTATTATTTAGTTTTTTAATTTTATTTTTATTAAATAAATTTTATAAAAAAATAAAAGATAAAGATGATAAAACAATATGTATTTTATTGATTTTAATTCACATCGATGCATCATATAAGTGTATTTTTTTTTTTGTCAAATCAAGATTGTATCAAGATTTTTTTTGGATAATGGGGTTGAATTGGTGACAGATTTAAAGTTTTCTGCCCACGTCTCAGGTGTTCACGAGATACCTTCTTGTTTTTTGTTTTCTTTATTATTTAGAACTTTTGATTTTTTGAGTTTTTTTTTTTTTAATTTTTTAATAAAAAATTTTGTAATAAAAAAATTAATTAAAATAAGTATAACAAATAATATATATCTAATAGGTTTAAATTTACTCTAATTAATTAGTGTGTTTTCTTTTAATTTGTAAATAATTGTGTTAAGGTTTTTTTTTTAATCGAGTTCGAATAAAAGTAAATTTTTATATCTTATACCTTATTATTGGTGTATATATATAGATATATTTTTTATTATTTATTTAATTTTATATTTATATATGTATTTTATTAAAAAATTATTTAATATTTTAATTTAATAAATTTATGTGTCATTTTATTTGGATTTTTTAAATAATTTTTTTTATTTTAAACAATTTTTATTAGATAAATTTTATAAAAAAATTAATAAATATAAAAATAATAAAACAACTTATATATTATTTATATATTATGAGTTTTGATTCACCATGATCAAATCAATTTTTTAGATAGATATTAAGTTGAGTTTTATCTTTTTGAATAATTTAGGTGAAGTTGATATGGAGTTTTAAATACTTTTCCCTTACTCTTGTCTGAATATATAAAAAATATAATTTATTATTTATTAAATTTATATTTATATATATGTATTATATTAATAAATATATTATTTAATATTTTAATTTAATAAAAAATATATTTATTTATAACTAAATTATAATTTATATTAAAAATAAATACACTTACATTTGTCTATATATTATCATCTGTTAAACTTTGATATAAAAATTTTTCTTTTATATTTAAAATATAATAATAATAAAAAATCTTACAATAAAAACACGAATCTAATTATAATAAAATATTATTTGGATGGCCACCTTAATTTATTAAATGATGGTCTGACCGTCAGCAATTTTTTTACATGGAAGCCCAAAGGTGTGGAGGAGAGTTCTCAATTTTCTCCCGCATGAATGGTTACGCTGGGATAGACTCATGAAACCATGCTTCGGCGGATTCCTAATTAAATGTACTTTACTAGTGTTAATTTCTTAGTATGAATGAATGATGTTGTCAATTTAACATGCCTAACACTTTTGTCTTAAAAGAAAACATTAATAACTAATACTATTTTTTTTTCTTATGTTAGAGAGCAAATTCTACTTACTTTTAGTCAATAATCAATTAATGAAAAATATTTTCAAATACTTATCGATTTAATGATTTTTAAAGATTAAGATTTAGTCTAAAATTTTATATAATCTTTGAAAAAAATTATTTTATATATTATTAGTAAAGTTTTTGGATTTAATAAACAAAATTAATAAGATAATATATATTTTTTAAGATATATTTATAAAAATAAAACATATATAAATCTTTTTAATTCTACTTATAAAATTAAAAAATTATATTAATAATTTATCAAATACCAAAAAAAGGAAAAAACATGTTCATAGGATTGCCAAAACCTCCCTTCTACCTTATGCCTGCTTCATGCCTCTTTTTCAACTTTCAAGAAGATCCCCAAAGTGTTGACCAAAAGAAATTAGAAACTTATATATTTAACAGAAAAATAAAACAAAATAAAATTCTATTGCTAATATTTAATTAATTATTTATTTGTAGTATTATTTTCATTTATTTTATTTTACCGACCAATGCCCAATGGGTATCCTTATCAACGGCTATAAATACCTCCACAATCTTCGCGCCAGTTCTCGCACACTGGATTCCCCTCCCTCTCTCTTCCTCTGTCAGGGACTCCATTTCCAGCTCTGCTTCATTTATTACTCCCGAGTTCCGGTGCTTCGACCCTACCAGCACTTATCCTGCAACCGCCGATCTCCGACGCTACTACTCCACCTTGCCTTCTTCTTGTTCCAGAAGTCCCAGAGGTGGCAACACCAACACGACCGACGTAATGGGCAATTCCACCACCACCACCGAGCCCAAAATCGTCTCCGGCGACTGTGGTTACCTTCTCGAAGATGTTCCTCACTTGTCTGATTATATCCCTGACCTCCCTGTAAATATAAAAGAACTTTCTCTCTCTTACTTGTTCGGTTTCTATATGAAAGTTCAAAGAAAACAATAAAAGTTAAGTAAATTTATGGAGAAAATTCAAGCATAAACTGGTCAGCTTATAGTTCCATTTATTACTAATATTTAATCTTTAAGGCTCTGTTTGAAAGCAGCTTATCAAAAAAAAAAGAAAATGGAATTTTCATTTACCCGAAATTTGTGCTCTGTTTCTCTTTTTTTTTTTTTTTAAACTGGGGCAGACATATCCGAATCCGTTGCAAGACAATACTGCATATTCAGTTGTGAAGTAAGTTTTTTTTTTTTTTTTTCATGGAATAGTCTGATTATCGATGCACTTTCTTTTAAATGATTTTTTTTTTGTTTTTTTACGTGAAATTAATTGTTCTGTTTCACCAGGCAGTACTTCGTTAGTGTTGATGATACAGTTGCCCAGAAGGTAAAAAATTTTTGTTCACTTTACTTTTCTGCATCAAAATATATCACTTTCATAAAAACATGGGAAATGAACCTATTTTTATGGAGGATTCCATAGTTGTGTTAGTCTACAAATTGAACTCATTGCATCACAGCAATTTTTGTCGTTGTTTCTGAATATGCTTTTCTGCTTTCTACGCACAGATTGTTGTTCAAAAAGATAGTCCGAGAGGAACCCATTTCAGGCGAGCGGGGCCTCGTCAGAAGGTTTGAAAATGGAGTTTTTTTTTTTTTTCTTAAATTTAATAGTTTTGGGGTTTCCTATTCTTATTCAAATTCAGAAACAGTGATGTTCATTTGTTATATGGTTTCAGGTGTACTTTGAATCTAATGAAGTTGATGCATGTATTGTAACGTGTGGTGGTCTATGCCCTGGTCTAAATACCGTGATTAGGGAAATTGTTTGTGGATTATACCACATGTATGGCGTCACTAGAGTTGTTGGGATTGAAGTAAGTGTATGCAAACATCCTTTGTTCATTTATTTCAGATAGTTAACTGGTGTAGTTGATTTAATGGTCGAGTCCAATTTGTTCTTCTAGTTAGGATACAAAGGTTTTTATGCTCGAAACACAATTCCTTTGACACCAAAAGTTGTAAATGACATCCATAAACGTGGTGGTACCATCCTTGGAGCATCAAGAGGAGGACATGATACCTCAAAGATTGTTGATAGCATTCAGGATCGAGGCATTAATCAGGTATGTATTGATCTTTTCTGGTCTGTTATTTGTGCTTTATGCAAATAAGATTTGATTTATTTTCAACATATACCGCCTGCCAGTGCCTCACCTTTGGAAAAGTAATTCCATATGTGGATTTGAACATTAAAGGTTTAAAACTAGATATATCTCAGGTATACATCATCGGGGGAGATGGAACTCAGAAAGGGGCTTCCGTGATTTTTGAGGTAATTGATTTGGATTTTGTAATTGAAGTTCCAAGTTAAGACAAATAGACTATTTTATATGTAATTTTTGCAGAACTTTTTATGAAGCTGTTTTGGACAAATAGACTGTTTTATATGTAGGAGATTAGACAAATAGTCTGTTTTATATGCAGGAGATTAGAAGGCGTGGCCTAAAAGTTGCAGTAGCTGGAATTCCAAAGACAATTGATAATGATATTCCGGTACAATAGCATGCAGAATTAGCACACGCTATCTCATTCACTTGATATTTTCATGTAGACTGATTTTGAATAATGTTACCAACCTTTGTAACAGGTTATAGACAAATCCTTTGGTTTTGACACTGCTGTTGAAGAGGCTCAACGAGCAATTAAGGCAGCCCATGTCGAATCAGAAAGTGTTGAGAATGGTATTGGTCTTGTAAAGTTAATGGGCCGGCACAGTGGTAAATTTTACACATCTATGCAGCTATTTCGTGTAGATGATTTGAAATATTAGTATCAAAGATGGTGTTGCACTCTTGCTATTCTGAAATTTCAACTGTAATTTGATACTCAAGAATTTATGTTTCCTTGAGTGTCTTGGAAAGACTTATGAAGATTGCATTCTTTAATTTGCAGCAAAATGCTAACAGCTGTGTTTATATGCTTTAAATTTCTGTACCCTACATGTGTATTTTCTTTTGAAGAAATGTCATTGTTTCATCAGATTCTCATATTGTTTCTATGTTTTTATGGTTATGTAAAACACAGGGTTCATAGCAATGTACGCTACCCTGGCAAGCAGAGATGTGGACTGCTGCTTGATCCCCGAGTCACCATTTTATCTTGAAGGACCTGGTGGAATGTTTGAATATATTGAAAAAAGACTAAAAGAAAACGGGCACATGGTTATTGTAGTAGCTGAAGGTGCAGGACAAGAGTTTCTTTCTGAAAACATCTGTTCCATAGACAAGAAGCAAGATGCTTCAGGGAACAAGCACCTCCAAGATGTTGGTTTTTGGATATCACAGAAAATAAAGGTAGAGATGCTTTTTTTTTTCGAACAAAAAGGTTGAGATGCTTTTAGAACAATTTATTTGTGTTAAAATGTTTTTGCAACCCTCGTATACGGAGCTTGTCTGCTTCATACAAGCATTTGAACCATTTAGGTCTTGATAGTAGGAACCATTGTCTGGTGAGCATTCATATATTTAACTCAAGGTGTTGATATATGATTTTCTCTCATTGGCGTCGATAAAAATTCTTTAAGTTGGCAGTAGGATCGATGTTAGGTTGATCTAGTGTTCACCCCCATTTGGCATTTATCAGCAATCCATCGATTTTTGTAAATGAGATGGGATGTTTTCATTTTTCAATGTTTGTTCATTCTTCAATCTGTTATAGTACTGAAATACTGCTGCCTCATTATACTTGTTTGTCTTCTATGTTGCAGGACCACTTCAATAAGCACCAAAAGATGAACATAAATCTCAAATATATAGGTTAGTTGGTGAAAACCTATATATATGTTCATATTCATTAGTGTCTGCTGATATTTTCCTTGGTCCATATTAAACAGTGTAACCAAGCACTGCTTTCGTTTTCTGACAGATCCTACTTACATGATCCGTGCGATACCAAGTAATGCTTCTGATAATGAGTACTGCACACTCCTTGCTCACGGTGCCATTCATGGTGCAATGGCTGGGTACACAGGTTTCACTGTTGGCCCTGTTAATGGAAGACATGCTTACATACCATTCCATGTAAGTTCCTTAATAAAATGACTGATGTTACGTTTTCTTTGTAGAGAAGTTAGATAAAACTACTTACATTTGCCTGCTAATACATTTTCTAGATCCATGGATAGGTTGTTAGTGAACCGAACATGAACTAGTTTTGCTATGTTTTTTATCTATTCATTTAATTAATGAACCCTAAAATATTGTTCATGATCATTTGTTAAGCTTAATAAACCAATAGAAATCAAGTTTGTTCACGAATTATTTAATATGTTATTTTATACTTGAATATAAACAAACTGAATATGAATGAACTTTATATGTTTATGATCTGTTCATTTAACTTTATCATGATTGTTTGTTAAATTTAATAAATGAATATAAACAAACAGAAATCAAACATGTTCACAAACTTTTCCTGAATGTTTTGCTCATTTACATGCATATCTATCATGGCTTAAATAGGAGCTGGAATTAAAGCTCTTAGAGAGTGCTTTCCGTTTTGTTTGTTCAATCGTTATAGACTGCTTAAAAGAAGGCCTTAGTTGATGTGATATAATAAGACATGGAAATGTGCAGCGGATTACCGAAAGACAGAACAAGGTAGCGATCATGGACAGGATGTGGGCAAGGTGCCTGTCATCAACCAATCAGCCAAGCTTCTTCAGCCCAAAACAGCTCTCTGAAAAGAAGGCAGAGGAAGAACTAGGGGAGAATTGAGGACTTAGCAATCAAGTAAAGAAACAGACATTATATATGGACCCAATTGTGCCATTGTGGCACTGGAGAATTTTGATTTTTGATATCTGCTGTTTCTCCATAGTCCATACTTCTGGCTTCCTGAATGTCTCTTCTCCATCTTCTGCATTATTGACAGGCATTCATACGATTTTTTTTGTAAATTACACCCCGTTGCTTTGGGCAGTATTGTAGTCCATTGAAATATGGGAAGCTGTAAAATTTCCGAGTGGTTATGCTTGTATACTGTATAATGTGCAAACGTCCTCTAATTTTGGAAAGCATTTCATTGGCTTCTTGGTTTGTGCATTTCCACCACTGAGTTTATGGACATATGGAACCCAATTGGCAGAGCTGGGACTGCAGTAGCATTCCTTTGGTTCAATCATCTCTTTCAAATTGTCCAATCTTTAGATATCCTCTGACAGGGAAGGGAAAAAGAAGTTAACCAGGTCATACTCGGGATCATGAACTGAGCAAGCAGCACAAGGCTCTTTTTCTTCCTCAAGTTTGAACTTACGATATGTTTGGATAAATATTAATAAAAAAATAAAAAGAAAGAAAGGAAAAGAAAATTTTTTAAAGGAAAAGAAATGATACATGTATTCTTTGTTTGGATAATTAAAATTCATAAAGAAAAAGAAAAAAAAATTCTAACAACTATTTAGATAAAGATAAAGAGTGAAAAAAAAGAAAATGATTCATTATAATAATTTTTTCAAATTATAATCTTTCATTGCTTGTGATTTTATAGTGCACTTATGGATCATAATATATTTGCTATCTTATCTAGCTTCACAATTGTTATTATATTAGTGATTTTTAATCAAGTGAAACAAAAAGATGTTTTACAAACATGCATTGATGGATTTGTTGGCTATTATCAAAATTTTAATACATTATCACTTTGACATCTCATAAACCTAAAAAATATGTTTATTCATATTCAATCATTCATCAAGATCAAATCACCAAAAAATTATAAAAAAAATTTATATTGAAGAGATATATGAAATTCACTTGAAAAAAAAGATGACTTTGAAAAAATTACAAAAAAATTGTGATGTGATTAGGTTTTTTTTTTACTAAGCTTTGATATTAATAAAAAATAAGATATAATAGTCCTTTTACAAAATAAGATTTTTTTAGCTTTCCTTTTTTCAACTTTTCCCCCAAATTGAGGTATTAAAAAAGTGAAAACTACAAGAAAAATTAAAGCTTATTGAATTTCCACATCTTTTCTTTCTTTTAAATTAAAAATTTATCCAAACAAAAAAAATATTTTTCTATTTCCATTACTTTCTTTTATTTTTCTTTCCTTCCTTCCCTTCCCCTCGATCCAAACATATACTCTTAGTATTTCAGCCAAGAAGAATATTAGATCAAAATAGCTGTCTTAGGGGCCAGTATCACTTTTTCGTTGGGTGTATAAAAGCATAATTGATCAAGGAACAGGGGCAGAAGTGTTTGAGTACATTACATTAGCTTTATTACACTATTTATAGAGTTAAAAAAAAAACTTCAAATTTAATTCAATTAATTGTTGCTCACATCCATTAAATTTGAAACTTAAATCTCTGCAATTCTTTCTTTTATTTTTAAATTATGATCTCTTTAAAAAAAAAAACTTTTAAACCTCATTCTTGAAAATTACATAATTAAACACATTACAATTAAGCTTTTTGCAATTACAAATTTAATCAAAACCTTAAAATCAATTAGAACTTTGATTAAGTTTTTGTTTGTTTCGTATACATTGATTTTTAGAATATGTTTTCAAAATTTTGTTTTTTCCTTTTTTAAGTTGGGATTTTTTGTTATTTGAATAAGTTAACAAAAAATATTTTCTATTGTTTTGTTATTTTTTGAAAACTTTGCTTTTTTAGTAATATTAACATAATGCTTAAAATATTAAAAATTATAATAAATATATTGAAATAATCTAATGCTATATTTATTAATTTTTTTAAAATAATTTAATTTTAATAATAATATTTAGTATTAAAATATTACTATAATAATATTAAAATAGTAATATTTAATATTAAAATAGTTGTATTTTATATTAAAAATGTCTATTATTAAATCATAATAAAAATATTATTTATTTATATTTATTATTAAAATAGTAATATAAATACATTAGTTAATAAAATATAAAAATAAATATTTTAAATTAAAAAATTAAAAATGATAAAAAGCTTATATTATTAAAATAATATTAATTATGTATTAAATAATATTAATTATTAAAATAATAAAATTATTAAATAGTATTAATATTAATAATTATTATTAAAATAACAACATAATACTATTATTATTCAATATAAAAAATATTTATATTTAATAATATAAAATTAAAATATTTAAAATTAAAATACCAAAAGGCTTTTAATATTAATTTGTTAATTTTTTAAGTAAAATTAAATAAAAATATTTTATTAATATAATAATATTTTAAATCGGGTCAAATTAAATTTGAGTTTAAATATCATGTTCAAGACTTAACTTGAGAAAATTATAAAAATATTTAAAATTAAAATATTAATATTTTAAAAATTTAAAGTAAAATTAAGTAAAAATATTTGTTTATTAATATAACATTATTTAAGATCGGATCAAATTAAATCGAAACTTAAAAAATCATGTGCAAGATTCAACTTGAGTAAAAATATGATCACGAGCTTGATAAAGCAATCTTATTTATAAACAATTCCTTTCTAAAAAATGTAAGGGAAGGCAATTTTCTAAAAGATGATTTAATTTTTTGTTGATCAATAAGTAACTTTTTATTGATCAATTAATTTTTTATCATGTAAACGCTAAAAATTTTAAAAATTATTTTCTTTAAGTCATTTTTCTTGAAACAAATAAAACTTAAAATATAAGTTCTTTCAATCATATTACTTATTTCGTTAATTTTGTTTCTAATATTTGTAACCTGATATGACTATAATTATTGAATAATTTTTATTCATAAATGGAAAATTATAATTAAAATATCTAATTAATACATTATTATCATATTAAATGAGAAAAATTAGTAAAAGCAATTGTATTTCTCAATTACTTGTTTTCTTATCACTTGATACTATTAGATTTAGTGATTTGTGAATTTATATCATATAAAATATTAAAATTTATGTATTTATATTATATTTTATATAAAAATTATGGATTATAATTTATATTAATATAAAAATATAAAATGTAAAATTTTATTTTATTAATTTATATATAATAATTATAATTATAATTATATTAATTTTATATTTTATTTTCATATCATCTTCCTATTTAAATTTAAATTATCAAGTTTACACACTAGTGTAGCCAGGCACATCAATATGTTACGGACTTAAAGAGGAGTCTTGACTCTCACATCGAACATAATAAGAGGGTCACTGGGGTATAAAAGTGTTCACACCATCTTCGCCTTATGAGGCGCCTTTTGTAAGATAAAACCGTGAGGCCAGAGGGTCAAAGCGGACAATACCTCACAAGGGTGTGAACCGTAACGGTCAGACTGATCTGAGACGTCGGAAGGGTGAATGCTCGGGTCCCGAAGCCGCGCGGGTTCGGAGCTTAAGTCTTGACTCGTGATAAGTGGTATCAGAGCCAGCCCTAAACCGTTCGATCCACGTCAAGCATCTCGAGAGAGATAGGTATGGTGGCCAACCTTCGTAACGAAGACGTCACGAGGTTGGGTGCTGGAAAATGTAACGGACTTAAGGAGAGTCCTGAATCCTACATCGAATATAATAAGAGAGTCACTGGGATATAAAAGAGTTCACACCATCTCCGTCTTATGAGATACTTTTTGTAAGACAAAATTGTGAGGTCAAAGGGATCAGAATGGACAATACCTCACAAAGATATGAACCGTGACAAAAAAATTGATCTAAAATATCAAAAAAATAAATATTCGAATCTTAAAATTATACAAATTTAAAATTTAAGTCTCGACCCGTGACAAACAGGCATGCCTAATCACGAACAATAGTGGGAGTTTCGTGGATCAACGTTCACATTATAGTTTCGTGTTTACATTGGCTTACATGCTGTTATGGTCACGTGTCTTCCACCGATTCTATAATTTATGACTCCATCTGTAAAGTCTCCAGTTTTTTTCCTTTGATATTGACGTGAATTAAATTTTAATCATTAGAATTATGAATTTAATATTTTATTAATAAATTATATAATTATTAATCTAAATCTCAACTTTATTATATATTTAAATTTTTTTTGAGGAATAAATTCAACCGTAAAAAATATATGAAAGCAAAATCCAAAGTCCAAAATTTATAGTATTGATAAATAGTTGTTTCAATTGATTAATTTTTTTTTTGATGAAAAAGCCTTGGATCTAAATTTTTTTGATGATCAATTATTAAAATCATTCTGAATATACGATTTATAATTATTTATTTTAAATTATCAAGTATAATATATTTTATTTTAATTTAAAAAATTAAATAACTTATTTTTTTTCAAAATTTTCTTATAAAAAAATTAAAAAAAAAAACTAAACCTATTTATTATTGTTATTATTATTAAGCTAATTAAGTAATAAAAGCAACCAGTCTTTTATTTAAAAAAATACATGTTAAAAAAACTAAATTACCAATACATGCTTCACCCATGTATGTTTCAACGAAAATATTATTTTAAAGATTTTAAATTTGATTTAATAATTAATGTGTAATATTTTATTCTAAATTATTATCATTATCAAATAAAAATTAAAAATATCGGATAGTATTTGGGCGCGGACTTAAGAATCCCGGCGATCCAAACATATCAAATATGATCAACAATTAATTAAAGGAACCAACTTTAAAAAATATTGGGGCATCTTTTTTGGTTTCAATTGCAGCGGGTCTACTTGGAATCAAATCAGCCAAGAATCCAGACTTACTATACACCATTAACAAACAAAATCAAACTCTCCATTCTCTTTCCCTCTTTTTCAACCTACTTTTTTAAACATCACATTCAAACATGAAAAAAGACAGAAACCAAAAATGACCCAAACGTTAACTTATTCATACAATATCATATTTCATCATGTGCAACTGTAATAAAATGCCCTGTTTTGCTCTATATCAGACACCCAAATTAACCCCCTCAAAAAAGCCCCAATTCGTATTAGAAATTTTTAAAACAAAATAAAATAAGCAAAGACGTTACTGTTGTGTTGATTCTTATTGATCTTTGAAGCATTTGAGGATCCTTCCTTTAATAGTAAGTCCTCTGTTTCTCTTACACAATGGGTTTTACTTAAATTAAAATGGGTTTATCTTATTTTCCTTATTCTGACTTTATTTTTTCCATCCTGTTAATTTGAGGTGGGTTAAACAATTATTATTATTATGTTTTGGTTTTTGGGTTTTTTCCTTTTTGAGTTTATATTATCTTTAGGTGGCTAATATTGGCTTATTTGATTATGAATAATCAATTTCTTTTCTTATCTGTATATTTGTCAATCTTTCTAATTTTGGATATGTAGTTCAAACTATGTTTGTGTTGCCTCTTAGATTTTAATTATGAAATGGATCATATGAATTTTGTTGCCTTACTTTGTTCATCATTAGTTGTTGTTGTTGTTGTTGCTCTTTTCTTTTAATTTTAAGTTTTTGACTATGTAGATGGAAGATGATGAAGAAGAGGACCTATTATTCTCGCTTTATCTGGGTTCATAAATACTATTATCGAAATTAAATGTTTGTAGTTATGATGTTAAAAGAAAAGAGAGATTTAAGGCCTCTTTTGGTGAAATTTGGGGTGGCTGTTGCTCTTTCTTTTGCTGGATTTCTTTTTTCTCGACTTAGGACCCGAAAGACCAAACCATCTTTGCCTCCTCCTCCTCCTCCATCACTGCATGTTTCAGGTTTGCGTTTTAGCCTTTTCTTGATCATTTTTGGTGTTGATTAAGTTTTTTGGATTTTGAGCTTGGTTATTATTTTGATCATACAGATTGTCGCAGTGAGTTTGGTTCCGGCGGAAATGATCAGAGTGAAGATGATTTTCAGGCCTTAAAGATATCACCAACTTCTGACCCTGTAAGTTTTCTTGGGTAATAGTAAAGTCTAAAACATTTACTGTCGTTTTTGGATCAATTTCAAATTTTGTTAGTTTAGATAATACTAAATTCATATACCTTTTGTTCCCTCCTTGGTGACATCTCTTGTTGGTATTTCATCAACTGGAGAAAAGGGGAGGGGTAAGCCTTATATTTATATAGTTTTTCCTAACAAGTAGAAAGGAAACTTGCCTTGTATAAATCTTTAAATTGTATTTAACAGTATGATTATCTGTTTTAATGGACCAAAATACCGTAAAATAAAACTGGCTGATCTTAGTGGAAATGAAAGGGCCATTGATAGTTGGAATAATTATCTACTTTATTCAACTAAAGCACAAGATGAAGCCTGCATTTTTTGGTCTGTAAGGCAATCGTGGGAAAGTATGAGAAAATTGGGAACTTACAGGGGCCTCCTAAATCATCTGCTCAAATATGCCTTTCATTATATGATTTAGATGTACCAGCAGGCTTTTGCACGTCTGCTTTATGCCTTAATCAATTTTTATTCAATATTTACCTATTCATTCTTAGAGATGTCGATGGGTAGGGTATGGAACAGGTATATCATTTCTCATCTCCATCTCCATCTCCATCACTGGTTTTTTATGTTATATCAATTGCCATACCTATACTTAATAGGTATTCCAAATTCGTTCCCATATTATATCAATCGTCGTATTCATATTTAACGAGTATTTCAAATTCATTCTTAGCTCTATCCCATGTAGGTATTTAATGGATATTGGTAATCTTTGTACTTGTAGCTTTTTTTTTAATAAAAATTATTTTTTTAACTTTTTTTTAAAATTTTTATCTTGCACATTTATGTAATTTTTTTTATAAATGTATATTTTTAAAATACAAATATATTAATTTTAATTAATCTAAAATAAAATTTATATTATTAAATAAGAAATTAATTTATTAAATATATAAATATATATGAGGTACGAGCAAGGGGCAGGTGCTATATTATCCATTTTCGTGCTTGTGCCCAGTAGAAAATTTAAAATCATACCCATTCCATCCTCATTAGGGTAAAAAGTCAAATTTTCTGTCATGTTTGGGTAAGATTAACCTCCCTCTTCATTCTTATCCAATTTGGGGATTAAATGATTATATCTGCAAAAACCTTTCAATTTCATAACAGTTGTGAATCTAGTGTAAATATGACTAGGGCACTGAATATGTGGCGCATGATGTTAGTTTCTAGGTATATATATGCCTATGCTGATTCTATTTCCTGAATATGATATTTTGGTTTCCCTCTGGCAGGAAGAAATGTCTATGCAACGAACTAGTGTTGATAATGCTTCTGTTTGTCTTTCCTCTAGCATTAGACATGGTGCAGATTTATTTCTCTTGCCAGAGTTTAATGATCTTGTTGAGGAATTTGACTTTTCTGTCTGTGCTGGGCCTTCACCTAAGCAGGAAGTAGAAAGACCAAAGTCAGATCTAGACACTTCAAGAACATTTATTAGTGCTGAAAAGGATGATTATGAGCAAGAGATCAAGCACCTCAGAAATATGGTAAGAGTGCTTAGGGAGAGGGAGAAGAATCTCGAGGTCCAGCTGCTGGAGTATTATGGCCGTAAAGAACAAGAAACAACAGTTTTTGAGCTCCAAAACCGATTGAAGATAAACAATATGGAGGTTAAGCTTTTCACTTTAAAGATTGAGTCCTTACAGTCAGAAAACCAAAGATTAGAGGGCCAAGTCGCTGATCATGCAAAAGTTGTAGCTGAGCTTGAAAGTGCGAGATCCAGAATTAAGCTGCTTAAGAAGAAACTTAAACATGAGGCTGAGCAGAACAGGGAGCAGATCCTAAACCTTCAAAAAAGGGTTTCTAGATTGCAAGAGCAAGAACTCAAGGCTCCTGCAAATAATCAAGATATTGAATCAAATTTACAAAGGCTAAAGGTTTTGGAGGGTGAGGCAGAAGAATTGAGGAAATCTAATAGGAGATTGGAGATAGAAAATTCTGAACTGGCTCGGAAGTTGGACTTGTCCCAAATCCTTGCAAATTCTCTTTTGGAGGATCCTGAGGTAGTCAGTTCATTTCTGGTGAATCTTCTTCCTTTACATTGTTACTAATATTATTGTTCTTGGATTTATTTTTCTGGGTGCGTTTGTTTGCAGAGAGAAGCATTCAATGAAATGAGCAACCGTTTGAAGCAAGAAAACGAAGATTTGACAAAGCAAAATGAGCAGCTCCAAGCAGATAGATGCGCTGATGTTGAAGAAATGGTGTATCTCCGTTGGATAAATGCTTGCTTACGATACGAGCTGAGGAATTATCAACCCCCTACTGGTAAAACAGTTGCTAGAGATCTAAGCAAAAGCCTAAGCCCAAAGTCGGAGGAGAAAGCCAAAAAACTAATACTTGAATATGCACATACTGAAGGAATGGGGGATACGGGGATGGATACCACAGATTTTGATTGTGATAAATGGTCTTCTTCCCAAGCTTCCTATGGTACTGATACTGGAGAGTTAGATGATTCTTCATTTGAGAATTCATCTGCTACAAAAACCACCAATTCAGGAAAAATGAAGTTTTTCAAGAATCTTAGTATACTAATGCAGGGAAAAGATGGTCATCATCAGAGCCAGGCTTCATCAACAAGCAAAACTGATCATCCAGAAGAAGTCCATTCTCCAATTTGGAGTTCAGGTAGAGGGAATGCTTCCGTAACCATGCTACAAAGCCATAGTGATAGAGTTAAAATTCCATCTCAGATTTCATCCAGAACCTCTTTGGATGTACCAAGATGGAAGAGTTTAAACTCTGATCATATCAAAGATGTCGAAAAGTTTCGAAGGAATAGCGACTGCAGTTCTTATGGATATAAAAGATTCATGTTAGGAAAGGATGATGCTTGTGACTCTCCTCTTGGCCCCCAACGCGAACAAGATTCCAGTTGCTTTCCGAAATCCGACTTGGTGAAGTTTGCAGAAGTTTTAAAAGAACCAGGAACACCAAGAGCAAAGTTTCACAGGAAAGCGGCAAGCATCATTTAAAATATTAGTTGACAGTATAGTGATATGTATAGCTTGTCATTGCACATGGTCAGTCCAAATGTAACATGTCACTTTTTATGGCTGGAAATCAAAATAGAAATACCTAAAAAAGCATTTAACATTAAATTACCATTTCAATATATACTTTACTGTTAGAAATTAATTATTTAATTTTTAAATGAATTACATGACAATTCGATTGAAAACTCTATCATTAATATATAAATTTAAAAATAATAATTTGTATATTTGTATCGTGTTTATTTTATATTAAATACGTATAAAATATATAAATTATTGTTTTATAATTTGTATTAACATACTAAATATAAAATATATTTTTTAATTTTTATTAAATTTATATATAATTTTTATCAAAATTTTAAATTTTTTTTAATCATTTTGATATGATGTCATCGTACACATTTAAAATTACCAAATTTATTTGAAAAATGAAATAATAGTACCATTAGTTTTTTAAGTTGAAAAATATGAAACTCATATTGATATTGAACTTTATAAAAATTATTAAAGTTACGATTGATTATAATAAAATATTTAATATGATATATAAATTTTAAAAATTAAAATTAATTACATCAACAGTAAATATTATATTAATTTATAAAATTGTAATTAAAGTATTATATTAAAAAAATTTTTAAACTTTAAATATTACATTAAATATTTTAATATCTCATAATAAAACACGTGTCAAAAGGATGAAGCGAGTGTTCAAGTATTAAAGTGCCTCCATTCGCGTTAGGTCCGTACAAAATAATAATCCAAATCGCCATTGCCCTACTACACAAACCACCACCTCACCGTTATAACGAACCAAAAGCAAAACCCCTCCATCTCTTTCCTTTCTCTCTCTCTCTCTCTCTCTCTCTCTCTCTCTGGGTTTAAGCAAACGAAACAACGAAATGGCGTCAGAACGATCACCGTCGTCGTCTCTTCCGCCATTGCCGCTAACGGCGCCAACAGTTGCAGGAGGAGGGTGGAATTCTATGCAGAGAGCGTCATTGTACGTGGGTGATTTGGACCCGGATGTTACAGAGGCTGACCTCTTTAACAAATTCTCTGCCGTTGCACCAGTCGCTTCTCTTCGCCTTTGCCGATGCCTCCGTACGAGAAAGTCTCTTCGTTATGGCTACGTCAACTTCTTGACTCATTCTCATGGTAACTCTCTCGTTTTTGCTTTCTTGGGTTCTTCGTTTCTTGAGATCTTTTTAAAGCTCTCTTTTCTCTGTTTCTCGACTTCTCCAGGAGAGTTTTTTTCTTCATTTTGTTTCATGTTAAAAATTTGGGTTTCTTTTTTTTTTTTTTTGTTTTGTCTCTCTTTAACTTGTTTCTTTGCTTTCATGCATTTGTTTTCTTGAACTCAGTTTTCAGCATGAGTTTCCTTCATTTCATTAGGTAAAAAAAGCTTGTATTTCACATAAATTTCTTGTTTGGTTCACATTGTTTTCTCTGAATCTGTTCAACTAAGCTTGGCAGTTTCATTGTTCATATTGTTTGGTTAGTTCTTAGCTTCTTGCCTTGTTTTCTTTTCGCTTTTTCTCGAACGATTTCTTTTGTGGACTATTTTTTCAAGAATTCTAGGTTTCTTTGTCTTCCTTTTTATTTTTTATGCGTTTCTGTTTTCTGTAGAATCATATATATTAATGTTATCCTTTGTTTTGATCAGCATCTAAAGCTTTAGCTTGTCTAAACCACACTGACCTGAAGGGAAAACCAGTGAGGATAATGTGGTGTCATAGAGATCCTTTCCCTAGAAAGATTGGTCTTGCCAATCTCTTTGTCAAGAACCTGGAGCCTTCTATCAGCTCTTCTGGCTTGGAGGGAATCTTCTGCCGTTATGGGACTATTCTTTCTTGTAAAACTGCCGAAGAAAATGGCAAGAGTAAAGGTTTTGGATTTGTACAGTTTGATTCTGAGGAATCAGCTATGGCTGCCATGACCGCTCTCCATGATACTATGCTTGAAGGGAAGAAGTTGTAAGTATTCTGATCTCATTTCTCTCGTATTCTTTTTCAACCTTTATATCTCCTTTGTAATATATTTGTATAGTTGTATTAACTGTTAGATTATGGGTCAAAATCTTTTCTGATTGTGGCTTCCTTATTATGCTCATTTGAGGAGCTATAGTTCTCTTGATTATCCTAACTTCCAAATTCCAAGGTGTAAATGCCCGAATGATGTTGTTCCTCTGAGTTTTATTATGATTCTTGAAAATGGACAGAGGAAGAAAGGAGTTGATGATAAGAATAAACTGATGGCTCTTTCCAAGATGTAGATGAGGCCTAACATCTCCTACCTTACATAGTTACACTTAGTGTGATTTCGCAGCCTCCAAAATAGTCACTTAAATGACGTCAGATGGTAGTACAATTTCATTAAGATGCAGAAAGATGGAGGTTCTATACTCTATCCTGGATTGTAGGTTCTTCTCCTGCAAAATCAGTCCAACAGACAAAAATGAATAATTTGCTTGTATTTGTCTCTCTTTTCCTCCATGGACAGCTGAATTCTTGCATTTTGGGTTTATAATTTTGATTAACTTACATTGGTGCTTTTATTTTGTGATGGTTCTTGTATCCATCCTTTTCATGTTTTAGCATGCAACTTACTTCAGTTGTTTCCTGTTTGCTTTTGATTCTATACAAAATGTTTCTCTGTCATTCAGCTCTGTTTTCCCTCCAGACATTTCTACTTTTGTTTGTTTCCACTCTAACCTCTGGATGGAAAGGGTTTTCATTTATTTCTTTAATCTTTTTGCTTTGTTGATTTGTTAAGCTAATGCCTGATTTGTTTGTTGCACTTCCTTGGCAGATATGTGTCCAAATTTGTCAGGAAGAGCGAGAGGACAGCAGCTGCTGAAAAAGAGAAGTTCACTAATCTATATGTGAAAAATTTGGCTGATGGAATAACAGAAGATCTCCTTGAAGAAATGTTTTCTAGATATGGGAAGGTTTGCAGCGCTGTAATCATGAAGGATGGCAAGGGGAGCTCAAGAGGTTTTGGGTTTGTCAGCTTTAAATCCCCAGATGATGCTAAGAAGGCTCTGGAGGTCATGAATGGTGTACAACTGGGTAAAAGTTGTCTTGTTATGACTCTTTTGTTTCCCCTTGTTTAAAATTTAGCAATTCATAAAAAAAGATCAATCATTTACATATGTAAAATTGATTTTTTAATCAGGTTCAAAGAATTTGTTTGTTGGAAGGGCTCAAAAGAAGGCTGAAAGGACAGAGCTATTGAAACATACGTACAAGGACAACTTCAACGGCCGTTTTGAGAAATTGAAGGCTTCAAATCTCTATGTGAAGAACCTCAATCTATCCATTGATGACAAAAAATTAAAACAACTTTTTGCCCAATTTGGACAAATAACCTCAGCAAGGGTGATGCGCCATGAAAGTGGAATGAGTAAGGGATTTGGCTTTGTGTGCTTCTCCTCTTCTGAAGAAGCGATGGCAGCTTTGCATGGGCTTAATGGTGAGACAAATTTCTCTCTGCCTCTTTTCCTATGTCCTCATAATTTGAGTTGTGATTTCTTTTGAAGATTTTTGTGGGACATTTTATGGTTACTAATGTGAATTTGCAATTGCTTAGGAATTTTTTTTGAGGGAATGAATCTGTATGTGGCAGTAGCTCAGCGCAAACAAGATCGCTTTAAGGCATTGCAGAACTACTTTGTACAAAACATCCCCATGCAGTCCTCTTATCAATCTAGTTGCAGTGCTGTTACTCCTCAGTTCCACCCACTTTACTTCAATTCCCCTCCTTGCGCTCCTCTTTTCCCTCTCCCGAGCCAGCCATCCTTATGTCAGCATTTTGTTGCAAACTTGGGCATTCAGTATCCTTTTGCTACAACACAGGACCAGCAAAACTTCTCATGCGTAAGCATGTCTCTTGGTTTTCTTAGAAACTAGTTTTTTATTCTGCAGCTCCATTCTGGAATTTATTCATGCATTGCTCATGATTTAACAGGATCTCATGAGACAAATGCATCCGGGCAATTCTTGGATCAGAAGAGATTGGGACCAGTGGGTGTACAAACATCATGTATGAGATACCTTTTTCCTTCAAATGATAGATTTTTAATTTGGAGACTCTTGATATTTGCTAATGGAATCTCATAACAAGTTTTCATATACCATTTCCTTTTGTTATTTGCTTACCATGTCGATTCCGGGAGTTAGAAAGTAGCCTTCAGGAACAAGGGGAACAAAACGTGTGAGCCGGCAGAAAATTCCTCTGTTGCAGTAGCAGCTATCCAATCTCTTACTGCTGCAACATCCCCCGTAAACTATAAGAAGAACAATGAAAATGTAACACACCCATTTGTAGAGAATCTTCATGCTTGAGATCTATATTTCCTAGTAGAATATCTTCTTTTAGGAGAATGTGTCAATGTATACATGCCTATTCTTTTTAATGTTATCTAATAAATTCTCTCTCTCTCCCTCTCTCTGCCTGAATATGCAGCGAAGGTAACAGGAGTGCTGCAGGAGATGAAGAATTCTGATGTACTCAATCTACTTAATTCTCCAAATTCCTTGGCCGTGCAAGACAAGTCAGTTCAAGGGTTGAAGGAGGCAAATGCTAGGACCTGTAGTGATGCTGTTATTTTAGCCAACCCCCAATCTGCCTGTTGCTTGAGCTATTAGCTGGTGTCATTATACATTTCTAACATGAGTACTGTTTTCCTTAGTAGTTTTTCAATTTTGCCAATCACTTGCTGTTGATGTATGAATCATTGCTATATGCTTTCTGGTCATTTGGCGACCCATGTGCCCTTCTATTGATTGTTTTCTGAAGAACATCTGGAGCTTTCTGATTGTGCGGCCTTTTCATATACTCTCTTCTACATCTTTTTCTTTGAGGTTCAATTTTTCCCAACATTGTATCATTTCATTTTTTGGTCCTAAGATACATTTAGGAATTGTAGACAGAAAAAAGTAAAGGAAAACAAAACAGGAGGATACATGGAGAAAAAGGAATGTCAATTTCATTTTCCTCAATCAACTTGAAGATCCTTGGTCGCAATTTCTTTAACAGTATGTCACATAACTAATTAAAATCATCTTGATAGACATTGAATTTTCTGGCATACATGATTAGAAAGACAATATTCTGCAGTATGAATAATTTTTTGATCAAGCTTACGGAAAAACACTACTAGCAGGCTTAGTAAAGTTTACCAAGGCCTAGTAGACTGTCCTTGGGAATCAAATGAGGGTAATGCCCTGAACAATCAATGCATCAGCAAGGACCTGATTAGCAGCCTGAGATGGGTGAACACTGTCCCAAAACACATACTGGGTGGCGTTGGAACAAGTTCCAGGTGTGTTTGGATTGCACAAGAATGCGGTTGTCTCTACTGTCCCTGTTCCACAGCAGCCTCTTGTTGCTTCCACAAACCCTACCAAAGCAGAGTCGTGAGTTTACTCACAATCAATTGCTTATGTATCAATTCTATTCATCATTTGAAAGAGTTTTTACTAGGCTAATACATGGAGAAAGCTCTTTCCTTAGTCCTTACCATAGTTTGATGGAGATTTAACAATATCGTTAAGTGCCTTGAAAATGTCAAAAACCACAATCTTAAGATCAGGATGCTGCTTCTGGAGATTGGCTGCAGCCGAGTTTAGCTTTTTATTGAATTGCTGGGCATCGGTGTTGAACCTGGAGACACATCCCTTCTCGTGGTAACCAAACAATGTTCTTGCTAAGGGAACACAACCTAATGGTGGGAGAGAAGTAGCTCCAATTTTCCTGGCTCCCAAGCCATACAAGTTCTGTTTGTCAATCAAAGCACCCAAAATTTATTAAAGATTCAGCTGTTCAAAGCGATAATAACAATTCCATGGAGTGTGCCATGCTTGTGCTCACACAATTAATAAAAGTGATTTACCAGAACGAAGCAAGCAATTATATACCTTGACAAAACTTGTGAAGGTATCAATAAGGAATGAGCCGTATTGGTCTGGAGTATAGGCTTGGTTAAGTAAAGGATTGACATAGTAGTTCTGGAGAAAGTCACCGCTTCCAGCGCTCAATAAATACAGTGCATCCTTAATGATGGATGCTGATTTGCTACTGCCAGCGACCTTTGCTAGCTTTGCCTGATACTCCTTGAAATACTCTACCTGCCGGGTCAATGTGATAGCATGCTGCAAATAATATGAAAAAAAAGGAGATTAAAAAAAAAGGAAAGTCGAAACTTTATACTGCAAGGCTATTAACGTTGAGATTCAGACTATAAGATTTTCATAAGATTAAAGATTCAAATGTCACATTGATCATGGCAGCTTTGTCATCATAGCCAGATCCAGCTGAAGCAAAATTGGCTCCAATGAGAAGGTTCTTCCCTGATGCTTCTGGGCTAAGATATGCTGGTGGATAGGTTGTAAACCCCAGAGTTTCAGCTGCAAGAAGGAATTTCAGTAAAAATTTTTATCATTCTATTTCAGCTACTTAAAGGAAAAAAGACAGCTGACTAGCCTTCTACTTACCAGTGATGTCAGTGGCTAATTTTCCATTGCAAAACCTCCCGGTAGGCTTATGGTTTGGGAAGTCCCTTCCGTAAGGCGGGTAATTAGCCTTGAAGATGGTGGGGAGATAGTCATTGTTGCCGACATCTACCACAGAGTCACCAAAGGTTATGATTGCTGGAACAAGAGTGGTTGGTTCTTGCGCATACCCTCCACTTACTGATGCAAATGCAAAGATCAAAAACAGTAGCCTTCTGCTATAAGCATCCATTTTTTTTTTCTTTAGCATGGGATCGTACTATGAAGCTTTGAGCACTGAGTTAGCCTTTATAAGCCGACCGAAAGTGACTAGAATGTGGCCTCTCGAAAGAGGATGGGGGTTGAGAAAGGCCAGTAAATGAGAGTAGTTCATATGAATTTTATCATTCATGTCGCTATTAACCAATTTCCCCATCATGGGCCCCAGATTTTATTTCTCTTCTTTTTTCGATTTCCATTTAGTACTCTTCCTTCTGTTTACTCATAAAAATGCATTGATATTGAGAAGCTTACATTTATGAATTTTTCTATCTAAAAAAACAAAGGACGGTGGTTGGCATGATAATAAAGAGGGTTGTTTTTGGATTGGAACCGAGGAGAAACTGCATACGCAGGACTTGGCGAATTGTTTAACAAATTTAGTATGCGGTGCCTCTGTATTACTGTACAAATTTCTACTTTTTCAGAGAAAAAAAGTAACGAAAAGTATCCAAACAAATTGCATCTCCACTTGCTTTTTACAAAGACTTTGATTATGCCAATTGCCAGGTTAAATGATGATTGTCTGATGAAACTAGATTTGGGAGGATGATTTATGCACCTTCACATATATTTATTTTTAAGTTCATTAAAATTCGTAACTTTTAAATGTTAACTTTATGTTAAAATTAAAAAATTCATAGACATAAAATGCCCACTTTTAATTAAGGCTTTGGAACCAATGTTCTAACATGTAAATAGTTGACAGTGATTGGGTATTGGGATTTGAAAGTCAAAAATATCAGAATAGGGAATGGATAGAAGCATGGTTAATCCGTCTAGACTATGGCGGTTTGGATTATCACCCGAGTGTCATTTATAGCCTAACCATGAATTTTGTCATGCTGATAATTTTCCAGAGAACGGTACTCTCTATAGCTAGGCTGCATAATGATTTTGTCCCTCACATGCAAATTCCAATTTCAAAGTTTATTTCCCTTGCATCCAGTTCCAGATCAAGAGAGTCAAAAGTGGGGCTAAAAGTTGCAGTCATGTAAAGCCACGAGGGAAGACCACCGAGCTTCATTCATTACATGTTGCTGTCATGGGTAAAAAATTAGGCCCAACAAGGTTTTTCTAAAAGGTACTAAAAAATTGGATCTGATTTACAGATTTTATCTTTGTATGGTTATAGTGTAGGTAAAATATATTATTGGTTATTTAATTATGATTATTTTTTAAAATAATTGTTTAATTATTAAAGTTTTTTATTTAATTAATAAATTTTAAGTATTTTATTTTATCATTTAACTATTAGTTTTTAATAATACCTGATGTGATATTAGTACATTAGCTATTAAATAATGTCATGTTAATATATGATTAACGGTTAAATGATAAAAAAAATATTTATTCAAAATTTATTACTTTAATAATTAAATTAAAAAGTTTAATAGTTTATTAATTATTTAAAAAATAAGTATAAATAAGTTACTAATCATATAATTTATCCGATATAGCATGTACCATGAGTAGTAGGCATTAAATTGTAGCCTCAAGTTACCTCTTCGAATGTATAAATGAAAGTGGGTGTGCTTGCTCGGGGTTAGGGGTGTTTATGGTCGTTGACAATGTCCAGGCTGGCTCACTTTCGGCAGGGAACATGGATTTAGGTGACCTTCACCGAAACCCAACAGGCAACAACTGGGGCTGAACTGGACTCTCAAGTCAAACAGGCATGTGTAATAAAAGCTTGCCTGCAAACTTGTTTGTTTTGTTGTGGCTTTATTTGCTTCCTCTTTCTGTTTTGGAAAACTTTTGACATTCAACAGAATTGAATTGGCTATTGGACCAAGTTAGAGAAACTTACATTACATAAGCTTATGAGGCAGAAAGCGAAATTATATGAAGCTTCCATTGACTTGAAATCTTCTGCAATTGTCAAACGTGACTCTGTTTAACTTTTATGTCACGCTTTCTTCAAAACCATAGTCTTTTAGAGTCTAGCTGAACCTAAAATTCAGGTGATAGATTTAGAAGCATCAAAAAGATGGCTAGCTGTTGGTTTTTCCCTGATTTAGCTGCCTGGATTCCGGTATTTTATTGTTGATAACAATGCCGGTGCCACTACTAAATGACTGGATCAATCGATTAAAGTTCGTATTTTTTGATAAAAAATTTTAGATTTAAATTTTATAAGTGATTATTTATTGATATCATTTCAAATATATAATCTATAATTATTTATTTTAAATTATCAAATACGACATATCTTATCTTGATTTATAAAATTAAATAATTTATCTATCTCAAATATTTTTTTTTTAAAAATAATAATAATGCCAGTGCCAATTGACCGGAAGAGAAAATGGTGAAATTTCAAAGCTGAAGCGGGGACTGCATATTGTTGGGTATGATATGACAAGGTTTTTGTTTTTAAATTAAATTTGCGGTGAGGGCAGATTTTAAAAACAGAATTCCCCTAGAAGAGATATTAATTTATAGATTTTTTTATTAAGAGAAATTTATGGCAATAAAATTCGAATATATATGTTATAAACGAAATAAAGAAACCTTATCCAAAATATCATGTAAATTTCTTTGAAAATACATAAAACAACATTACACACAAGACTAAAAACACATTTTCCATTGCCTTGTAAATTATACTCCTTCAAGGATAAATTTGTAAAATCTAAAGCCAAGTTTATTATAAGCTAATCAGTTGATTTAGCCCATGAGTGTTATTAGTATAAAATAAAAAACAAAATAGAAGAAAAATTATTAGTATAAAATAAAAAAACAAAAGAGAAGAAAAAAAAAAATCTAATTGACAGTTTTCCGGTGGTCTTTTGGTATCATATTTGGTACCTATCGAAAGCTCTTTTCTAGACTTCTTCACTGGTTTTTGTTGCACCTATTTGGTTGTATATTTTAAGAGTTACTAATTTTTAAAGTTGTGAAAAAATGGGCATTCAATAGTTTTGGTAACTCAATTTTGCGTCGTCGAAATTCTCTATTTCATTGGTTGAAAAAATGGGCATTTAACAGTTTAGGTTATATTTTTATAGTAAAACAAATATATTTTTTAGTGGTATAATTGGTGTGTTTAGATGATCTATTGGTTAAGAGAATCGAAACTTTAAAATAAATTTTATGAATCTATAATTCAAAAAATATGAACTATTTGAAATGATTTACAAAGTTTTGGCCTTCAAAATTTAGCGTGTATTTGGTTTATAAAAATAAAACTGTTTTTCATTTTCATTTTCACTGAAAATAGAAAATAAATTAGAAAGTTTGTTTGGTTGAAAAAATAAAAATATTTTTTAGAAAATAAAAACAAATCAAAATTTGAAAACAAAAAAAAAAAAGGTTGTTCGAATCATAAGTCTACAAAATAATACCTCTACACTCGCAACTTGCTTGTAAGATTGTTTTCTCTTTCTAAAAGGATTTTCACTTTTCCTCTCTCTAAAATAGACCAAAAAATTTTAACTCCATTTTCATTTACTTCTCTTCTCATAAACTATAATCCTTTTGTTTATTTGTTTTTGTATTTTGCATTATGTTTGCCTATTTTTCATTGAATGATTCAACCATATGAACCCATACCAATTCATTGAACACCCAATTTATCTTATTCCCTTTACAAACTTGTTCTAACGTAAGGTCAATAAAAAATTGGTCAATTTTCACAATAACGCAATAAAATTTTACAATTGCTGACATCCCATAACACTTAGGATTAATTTAGTTTACCATCAACAAGAAATCCTGAAATTTCAACTCAACAAACACAATCAGAATATACTCTATCACATCACCAAATATTGGTCCAACTTAACAAACATACTATATTCCAGCAAGATTATTTCCAACCAAAAAAATAAAAGCTAGCAAGTATCTATCTAAAACACTACAGATATTCAGTAGCAAGCAAGTTATGGTTACATTTAAATTGATCTCCAACAAATTATGGTAAAAGTTTTGATTGGATCAATATGCTAACAATTAATTATTTTGGTAAAACAATTTATTATAACAAAAAATAGTTCTTAAACATAGAATCTTAGTCAGAATGAAGAAAAAAAAATCATATGTCCAAACCCAATTAAATGGGGAATTTGCACAAAGATTTGGAATGAGTTCAATTAATTATCAACCATAGAAGTTCAATTAATTATCGACCATAGAAATGTTATTACAACTGAGGAAATAGTAAGAGTTTGTATTTGATCAATAATTGCTCATAGAAAAATATGATACACCAAAAAAGCTTCAAACTTTGATGCCTTTTAATCCTCCGATCTTCCTTCCTAGATTAACTCCAATATGATACTTATTTATACTACCGTATGATTAAGATGGTTGAGCTAGTTTTCACTAGTTACTTATCCAATTTATGGTATAAATTATTGAGTTGTTCTTCCGCAAATTATTGTCTACACTAATGTATGACGAGGAGAGAGGCTGAGTTGAACTATAATTTATATATTTATATATTTTTATTAATTAAAGATTGTATTAGAGCTATTAATGGTGTTGAAATATCTACTTAGGCTCGTGCATCGAAGCAAGTACAATTTCCAAATAGAAAGCAAAATATGTCATAAAATGTAATGGTAGCTTGCTCTCATGACATGCTTTTTACATTTGTGTGTGCTAGATGGGAGGGAACTGCTCATAACACAAGAGTTTTTGTTAATACGATATTAAGTAATTCTACTTTGCCAAGTGTTGATACATTTTAATTGATATAATTATTTCTAAGAACTACTTAATTGGTTAATGTTGTTTATGTAATTTTCATATTTCTTATGATATTGTAGGTAAATATTATGTAATGGATGCCGGATAGCCAACCATACCTGGACTTTTAGAAGCATTTCATGGACAAAGGTATTATGCATGAGACTTTATAAGTAGGCACCAACTAAGAGGGAAGGAAGAATTATTTAATATAAGACATTCTTCTGTTCGTAATGTGATTGAATGAAGTATCGAAGTACTGACAAAAAGATTTGCCATATTGAGGGATATGCCTAATTATCATCTTAGAAAACAATGTCATATACCAAAAGCATGTTGTATTGTACATAATTTCATTAGGTTGGAAGTCGAAAAGGATGAATTGTTTGAAGAGGGTTAAAGAAAAAACATGTAAGAATTTGATAGCATAGAAGCATCTTCTACTAGTTCAAACAATGAGCAAAATAGCATTTGATATATCATAAACAGCTGAAATGGCTCAAGTTAGAGAAGAGATTGCTACATCTTTATGAAATAGTTATAAGCAAAATTGGGATTTCAAAAAATAAAACAATTAAGAGGTGATGTAAGTT